TCCTCTCGATTATTCCGAAAGTTAAATGAAGTATTTATTAAATTAAACACAGTCCCCATTGTTAGAAGTTTCGTCAAGCAATTAATAAGATTTCTGAAATTTTAATGTTATACTCCGGCGGGTCCCGAATGAAGTTCTCGCGTATAATGAACTGATATTATACTTTACGTAATAATAATCGCAATATAATTACGCGGCAAAAACTTTATCGTAAACGCTACCAAAACATTCTCCCTCTATTAAAATTTGTTAATTACTCCGGCTTTCTACGTTCTTCTTATCTAATTATATCGTATCATAATTACGCTTCAAATTGCGTGACAAAAAATTTATCTTGAGATTTTTATCCGCACCAAATCCGTGACAGCTTTTAAAACTCTCGCGAAAGGAGCATTTAAAGGCCGATAAAGGAAAGTTATGATCGAGTAATGCTCGAAAGTTGCGAGAACTCCTAGAATCAGAGTTGCCTACGGCGAAACGCAGTTATTGCATAATTTTAAGTCTGGCCCTTGGCTAATAATAGGAGGCATTGCACACGAGTATTCCTCAGATTCCAGTATTGAGAATTTGACATGGTATACGTTGCTTCCAATTATTCGTCGTGCTACTTCAGTTATTTCGATAAACGCTCCACCCTAAATATCAGATGGTATTTAAGAAGAAAATTTTTAATGTTTGAATATATGTACCTATTATTGATTAATTTTCGAATTAAAATTAACAGTTATATATATCAAGATTTTTGCAATATATGACAATCAGTATTCAAAATCTGATCACAATCGAACCGCTGGCGCCATTATTGTATTCCACTTGTAACGTCATGGTATGACGAATGTGATTCTTGAACTAACGCGGGATATTAAAGCAGCAGTAATTTTATTATCTCCGAAATGAGAATTGATCACCCACGCATCCGTCTCTGTCAGACGTTTCTTTCCCGTCAACCCAGCAGCTCACTCCCCCAAGAACTACACTAAAGATGATATTATATTTCTATACGTTCACGCTGAAAGATGAATATGTATGATTATATATTTCAAGTTTATCTAATAGGACTGTAATACTGCAATGTGCGTACAAACATGTAAAATCTTAGATATGTAATAACTAAGCAGAAGCAAGATCCAGATTCTACGCAAATAATTTAAATTAAAACTCAGACCGCAAACAGTCCTAGGAATCCGAGTTGCGAATATAAAATGAATGTAAAGACATGTTTTCTCAGCAAATATACAAGCACACGCAACATCGTAGAAATTATATTCAAATAATTAAAAGTAAAGCAAGGTATAAAAATATCACATCGCAATGAGAAAGCTTTTCTTATTTCGCGATGCGGTATTAAAATGGCAACAATTCCAATAGCTGCCTTCAAAACGCGACCCGGACTATGATGAAACGTGATCGTAAAACGTGGATGGCGCGCAACTCCGTCCGCTCGACTCGCGCGTTTTCCGCTGAAATTTCGCGCAATCATACCCACGCATTTAAAAGCCGGCGAGACAAATATTTGCGGAACATTTGCACTGCTCTGCAGCAAAATATTCGTCACAAGAAGACGTAATTAAAGCGATGTAAATTCGCGCGCATACCGCCGTTTATATTACGCGACAACGTGAACAAAAACAACGGAAACAATTTATCCTCCATGCGAACGGCCTCTCAACCGCCGTGTATTACCCAAGATAAATCATTATCGAATCTGTGTGATCTGTAATGCACGCATTTCGAGACGATAATATGCGCTAAAGAGATGCATAGTAATATAAACAAAATACATCGACAATGATACGCGCATGATATCTATATATAGATTCTACATTAAAATCAGCCATGTGATGCTTATTTGTAATTTAATATTGGGTATCGTACCGAATTAATACCGCACGATTAATAATGAGTTTTTCTTTTTTTTGGCCTTAATTTTTAGGAGAAGTAAACAAGCAATTATGTATCACAATCCGACCGCCAAAAAAAATCAGCTAATTTGGATACACGAGCGTTCATATTTATTTTGGATACACGAGCGAAACGATTTATGGATGACGCATGCAAGCCAGAATCGGCGATGCGCTATCATCGAGATAATTCAGTATCGGATTTGCGATAACGATGTACGTTTGCGACACACACACATACACTTACGCATACAAATAGCTGTACCATAAGGGTGACAGTTAATCGTGGGATCAGTCGCACAGAGAGAGATTTGCACTTTGCATCAGTCTATGCGCAGCTGAGGCAACTGAAAACTGATTGCCGTACGATTGTATGCTTCTCATATGAAAATTAATCAATTCTTTGTTTTCTTTCATGCTGATTTGCGACTAATTCAAATTAATTATTTGCGTTAATACTTGAACAATATTAAGATTTAAAATTTCTTTAAACATATATCAAAAATAATCTTGAAAAATTTTTGTCCATAATTAATTGTTCAAATTTATATTAGATCTTCTGCCTAACACACACATAAATTATCCCACATTATATTATAGATATTTAATGTCGTGATGATACTTGCCATCCCTTTCTGTAATACTTCAATAGCAATATAAATCAATTAAAATTTAAGTAGGTATCTAATCGTCAATAGAAGGTAACGTACCGTCTTGTTATGTAATCGAACTTGTCGAATTTTGTAAACGTGCCACACGGGGCCAATGAGCGCGGAGAACTTTAATTATAATAGGCAGAGACAAGATTCGATTAGAACCCTCCGAGACGCATCTTGGATCGTGCCTATTACATCATATTCGATTATTCGACATAGTCCGACAACGCGTTGAAAATGAATGAACATAATTGAACAAATGTGTTACCGTGACAGTTGTTTTAGTTGTTTATCAATACAATTTGACCTCTGCCATCGTAAAATAACTATACAAGATGAGTAACTTGAAAGAAAATCAGAAAATGACAAAGTATTTACATATCAGCAACAATTTTCTTCTCTCGGTAAACATCTCGAAGAAATTCTTTTTCAGCTACAGTAACAAATTCACACAGCGCATTGTTTAGTTTCATCTATTATGCAAAATTTTATCAATAAACTTCCCGATGTATTGGAAGTTTTGTTTCCAGTTTCTTATGCCGGTATAATAGGCAACCATTTGCTAATTATTATCGTCCTAATAAATCATTTTTGTGAACTGATGTTCATTCAAGTCTACCGCACAGCTCAAATAGCTTACGGTTTATGAACAATGAATGGCAAGCGACTGCTCGTTTACTTTTTAATCAGAAAATAATCTCAAAAAATTACCTGATAGCATTATAGCCAGAATTCCAGCCAGAGACTTTTCATCTTCTTTACAACTAGGTAACAATAAAGCGCAGGTGAATTTCACGGTCGAGATGCGAAGATCGCGAATAACCAGGTATTTTCAGCGCCGGTCATTGGAAAATGTTGAATTTAATTCTGTATGCACGCGCCACCGACTAATTTGGTTGCGATGCAAAACAGCTGTTACTCCATGGCCACGTAATGCTTGCCGCCGGGCTCGCTTTTCATCGGGCCAACGCGAAATTCCGGAAATTTTCTCAAAGTTGCCGCCGGGGACTTTGATACATACTTCCGGGAGCGCGCAAACCACCAAAGGGTATAATCCGCTAACCATGTGCATACTCATCACTGATCGTGATACTGCCGTCACTTTGCATTTTGAGTGATATTTCGGTAGCGCGTGAAATATCATTTTGATAACTAAACAATGCAGTATCGGATGCCGTTTCGCAATCAATTTGCGATAGTGCCTCTATTATTCGAGAATTATACAAGCAATCGAATAAATTAAGTTAAAACAATTAGTCTAACGTTAAAATTGATTGATTTAATTTAGAAAGAACAATAAATAATGTTATGATTTATTTAAGAAAGAGTAAAATATTTGCAAAGTTGACACTTTTTTTAAATCGTACAATCTTTTTCTGAAAATAATCTGGAACAAAATTACTTTGTTAACGGTTATTTTGTGCGAATGATAAAGTATTCAAATAGAGTAGAGGATTTAGATAAAAATAGAAATTCAAACAATAGAGATTCTATACTTAGATTCTGTATTTTCTAATCGATACACAGAAAAAAAAGAAGTGTTAAATCAAGACTCATATTCTTGCATATAAGCAAGAATCTATAATCTTCTTATACGAATTTCATTTTTTTCTTGATAAAATAAATACCCTATATAAATATCTTTATTCAAACAAGTTTTCTTCGCTTAATGTAATTTATATATATCTCATTTCAAGATTATAGATTCTTGCTTATATACAAGAATATAAGTCTTTCTTGATTTAACACTTCTTTTTTCTGTGTACTAATTAATACTTTTTATTACAAAATAGTTTTCAAATCGCTCACAGTGTAAAACAATTTGACAAAAGATTGCAAAGAGATGCTATTACTGCAACTGTTATGCGGCTAAAATCTCGCATATGCTTTCTCAACACGCCAATAAATTAACAAAAAATTAAGTTGCGAGTCACGCGCGGAGAAAGATTTTTATCGGCGTTATTAAACTACGCACCGCAAAATTTGTTTGCACGAGAAATGAATCGTTGCCCAATATAATTCATCAAATCGACTGTCCATAAAACAGCGAAGTAAACTCGCGCAACACCATACGCATACGTACGGTTACCGCTCGTTTCGTTTTGTATTCACGTGTGACTCCTGGGACGCGGTTACACGGACAAAGTACTCGAGCGCGTTTTTGATTGCTTGTCTAGTCGCTCGACCGTGTCAAACATATGTTTCCCTAGTAAAAAAAAAACTGGGAGGTCCCGAAAGCCTAATAAATTACTTTTGGTCAGAAATATGGTTTTAAAAATAAGTAGCGCATACGCGTATAGTCAAATAATATTCCCATAATTTTTCGCAGAATTCGCAATAAATACTTCAACAGAGTGAATTATCTTGTTTGATAATTGTAATTGCGACGCTTGGTCACGTGGTGACTATGAGAACGCTTTAAGACCTAGGAAAATAGACTTACCCTTCATGCCGAGTGATGATCGCACCTTCCCTCGATGCTCGTTCTACAGTTTATTCTTCGTTACACGAGCACTGATATTGACGTGTCCAACACGGGATTTCGCGACGCTTCTCCGACGCGGAGTTTTATTTTTGACATGAAAGATGCGTAGGAAGGTGAATGACGCAAATCACGAGTTTCACGAACGTACGGCACTTCCTAAAAATAACAACATAAATTGTGATTTTTAACAATTGCAGTAAAATAAAGCGAAACAATGTTATTCAGATCGCTAAATTCAAGCTCAATTTCAATAGAAAACATCAGGAATGATACCGATTTAATTTGAAATGTCTGGTTAACAATCCGCATATTGTATAAAATGTACGTTATACCTAAATAAGAAGACTTTGTTAGTAAATATTGCTACAACTTGGTTGTTATAGTGTTCGATTTGTACAGTATTCAACTCTTGCAATAGTTATTAATTATTAAACGATAAACGTCGGAAAATTCAAATTTTATTGGCATACGTCTCTAGTTTAATACAATTTAGGTAATTACGTACACAGTCGCGCGTGCATTTTACCTATTGTAGAATCAGGAAGCAATAATTCTCGAGTATCGTTTTCGAAATATACTTCCATTTGCGCGCTTCACTCCGCGCTTTATCATCCGTATCGTTTACAGCGTTTCATATCAGGGAAACATCAGAATTATAAACTTTCCAGGTGTCAGGTCGAAATCACATTGATATATGTAAGGTAAAATTGCGAGAGAACGCGGTCTCGCGTGATATGTGCGTGTCGTATCGTAGCGTGGAAATCGGGGTTAAAGCAATATGATAAGCACTGCTTCAGAAATATCAGGCTTTGTGACGTTTGACCGCGAATAAAACAAACGCGCGTGCACGTATTATATGTGTACGTGGATAAAACAAAATATTAAAAAATTGCAGGACATCGTTATAATTCCGTGCAGAAAAGAGAATTTGAAGCCAAATCGAAAACCAGCTTTCAATTTTGCTCCTTGCTCCTACTTAACGAAGCAATCAATATTTCGTGAGGTTTATTTGACGGAACGTGTGAAACGATGAAGAACAAATGTTTTTTTTTGTTCTTTTAAAGCGTTTTGTTCGCGAATAAAAGTTTCGATAAGATAATTAGTCACTTTTTCAAATATTCGTCGAAATGTCATCCGAGCAATATCCGCTATTTTAAACTTTCTTCTTCAAATGGACATTTGATCACTATCTAACAAAATAGTTTAAGTACAAGGTTGACCCCCTAATTGTGTTAAACATTGTAATGACTTCATCACTTCACAAAGTAACACAGTCGTAAATTTGTATTCTATTCTTCGAAATCTCCTATACGAGCGACCTGCCACCGCAAGCACCACGAATTCGATTCCATTTAATCACGAGCCTCAGTCAGAGAATTTATCTGATTTCCAGAGGCTGAGGCTCGTAAAAATTTTATTCTTTTGTCCAGGGAGAGAAAAATTTCCCCCGCGGGAGTCGGTACCGTCTGCCACTGATAAGTAGGCAGTGTGGAGAAGAGAACTCCATCGAGATTCTTCCCTTGTTTTCCTTTTTCGGTGGTGCTTCGCAAAATTTACGAGGATTACGTCGAGTCATTTTCGAGTTTCCCGCCGGGACGTAAAGCCGCCTCGTAAATTGGGATACTGTCCTCGAATTCTAGTCCCGAAAGGCGATGGAGGAGGTAAAGTCTAACGCGGCCGAGGCGAGGCTGTACGGAAAGATGTTATCGAATTTGGAGCAACCTATCTCTCTTTATAAGGCACAAAAAACGCGGAAAAACACCTATAACATATAATGAAAGCAATATCGCAAATTTTGCTCGTTTATACGTGGCTATACGTACATGAATATATTTATCGGCAATGCAAAGAGCTTGTATACAAATTTTAGGATGCTCGCCGCGCATGCAACACCGCTCATACATGTAAAGCAAGATGCGCAAACTCTTTTTCAAGTTTACGTTGCGAACGTCGGCATGTTCGTCGTGTCGCGTCGTCGAGGGCGCGGCTTGTTACAAGAATCGCAGACGGGAAGTTTGGTCGCGCCCGTTCGTGCTGTCGCGGCGTATTTACGCGTTCGCCGAAAAAATTTTGTCGCGAGGCTTACGCCGGCGAAGGGTGTGCCCGCGAATATTGCGAGGTAAGCTGGATTCTGGAGTCAAGCGGCAAAAGAACGAGATAAAAGCTGCCGGATACGCGATATTCGAACACGGGGAATATCGCGTCCGGATAATGAGACTAGTGAGGGTTAAGTGAGAAGAGATAAACGAGAAAGAAGAGAAAAGGAAGGTACCGAAAAAGAGGAAACTGTGAGATTAGATTAGGTTCATATAAACTCGACACGGAATGGCGCTATCGCGCCGATGGACATGTCAAGGAGCCGGTCAGGACAAGGAAAAGTCGAACGACGATGAGAGTTCGCGGAGAACGAACTGGCAAATTTATGGAACGTGGTGGCCTTTCCCGAAGTAGGAGATTTATCGGACTGATAGTTACAAGAGCGAAACGGCGCGATGATGCGCCCGCGCGCGCTCGAAAACTTCTGCCGCCCGTAAAAATATTTTCACTCGAGAGACGAAACGGAGCCCGAGTAAAACGAACCGCGAGGAGGAAGAAAGAAGTCACCGAGCGAGACAGAGACGTTGGTGACTGCGGTCAAGACGTCGAAAAGTCGACGGACGAGAGTTTGCCGAGACGGGATTTATGGGTTATCGCTCGAGCGCTCGAGATTTATCGGACAAACCAAACGCGGAGTTGTTGAGGAGAGGTTTCCGTTAAAAAAACGAAACTGCACGCTCAACGAAAACACGTTTCTATGTAAGAAGAGTGAAAAAAACCGTGCTACTACGTAAGCACAAAATTTTAAAAGGAGGAAGCTGTAATAAGCGAACGAAGTCGCGACGTGATTGCGAAAGAGATCGCGAGGTCTCCGTGAGAGACGAGTGCGAAATCAGGAAAGAGTCAAAAGGATTTATGCGTGCGCGCGCTAGCAAAGGAGTTACGTAATAAAAACGTCAAAGTTTAAGATTTATCGGATCCAGACAAAAGAAACGTCTCCACAGTCTCTATCTCGTATCGACGTTTCTCGCGCAAAAGCAGTATTTTTAAGCAACGGAAAAAAGAAGGCCGAGATCCGAAGGAGACTCGAACAAATCACCGTCGTGCCATTCTTATCATGATGTGACGTAGAAAAAAAATAAAACTTCGTACGTTATTCTTTGTAAGATTTACCGGGTTGATTGCTAAGAAATTTCGTGGCGGAACTCTGCTAAATCTCGCGATTTATCGATGTAGAAATAAAAAGTACTAACATTGCCGATCCTTGAAAATTCTAGTGATATCTTTGATCTTTGTCTCTAGAAGTTCATGATGTTTAAATAAGAAGAAAAAGAATTCGATAAATATTTCTGGTCAAAAATCGAAACTTACAATCGTATTTTCTTTATATCAGACCTGTCCAAATAATATAAATTGCAAAAGATAAGAATTGTATACCTAAGTTTTGTGAATAAATCTTCATGAAAACTCTTTTTCTTGTCGATTGTATTCTAATTTATTTGGATTATATACTTGAATATTCCTAAAATGACAAGTTAATAAACCGATATATTAGATCAATATTCCTAACTAGTATATTTAGTAGCTCATTCGAAAATTTGAGAAATCATCTTTTCGTATCTATGTAACAGATTTATATTACGATGTCAAGAAGACGGCGATATCGTTGGAACGTATCTTTGCACGGAAAGATTCTTAGAAGCGGCAAAGGAGAAATCTTACGACGAAAGTGCGAAAGTTCGAGACTTATCGAACCGGCAGTAAAAGGATCAACGTGGCTGATCTCAGAAAAGTATTTCACAGCATACAATAACTTCTTCTGCTCTTCTTATTTCCATGAATATTTTCAGATAAAAGTACAAGGCAGAAAAAAGAGAAAAGGAAGAAAAGAAACAAGTCTGTAAAATACAGGACAAGTAATAAAATTTTGAATAAAAGACTGGTAATGGCGCAGCAGATGGGAAAACATATTGCGGATAAAATTTTCATGTATGAAATAACAGTAGGTTCTTTCTTTATAATAAATACAACATGCAAAAACAATGTACATATAATGTATATATAAGTTTATTTTAACATTTAAATAATATATGATAGGTATTTCAAAATATAACGCTTCAGGATTTTGTTGCATATTTTGCATTGAATATACGACAAAAATACTCTAAATTGTATTTTAAATAAAAATTGATAACGCTGTTTTGCGCACTTATCAATATAATTTAATATACGTATAAATATAAAAATTAATAATATAAGTCGTAAACAAAGAAGGAGAAGTGACGTGTGGTTCACGATCGTAGAACGTTGGTAGAACGATCAGAGGATTACGGGTTTGATCGTAATGATTCATATATGCTTATTCCGCCTACGTGACGAGTGAATAGCTCAGGAGTCAACACTGCTGGTCCCGAAGAAGGAGAGTTCGTGGGCAAGTTTAGCAGCCTAGCCATGATAAAACAAAAATGAATGCTTACAAAACCAACAATAAGCCTCGGAAAAAGGTCAATAAAGTTGAAAAAACAAGTTTGAGCCTAATTTAAAGAGAAAGAAGAAGAAGTAAACAGAAAATTTATATTATCTATTAACTGCATGTTATTTGTGAGCGTATTTTACTTAATAGAAAAATTTTTTAATTATTTTCATAAATTTATAAAAAATGCAATATTTATCTTTTCTATTAATTTAAACTGTGGAATTTGTCAAACTTAATGTACAAAAAATGATCAAAGAAATCGAGAAATAAATATAGATAAGTGAATTTTTAATGTCGCTCGCAAGTTTGACATGGATAAATCAATCTCGCTATCTACCGTACAGCATTGCGAATGGCTGCAATTTCCAACAACAATGACGACAGAAACGAGCAACGGAAAAGCGGAGGGATTGAAGAGGAAAAAGAAAAGACTCGATAGAAGAGAAGTACGCGAGAATGTGTGCGGAAGAATGGCTGAGTAATAACACAACAGAAGAGAGTGCAGAAGCGGATCTATTCGGAAGAGGGAGTAAAGGGATCGACGCGGGATCGCGAGATTGTGGGAATTTCCGGTACCCTCGCATCCGCGGCACTTATCGCACGGCAGAATCAGCGATACACCAATGCAGCGTGAAACCAACGTTCCGCCGAACGTCGCACAAATTTCCGAGATTTTACGCCGAGCAATCGAACACGCTGAAAAGTCGCGCGGCAGATTTCTCCATCCCGGATTTATGGATGAGGCAGACGCATGATAGATAGATAAAATGTTCTACTTCCCATGAAGATGATACGATAAAATAATAGACTAATATCTTGCAGTAGAATGAATATAGTATTAATCTGATTAAATCAGTTGATTAAGTGAATCTCAAGTGAATACAGAAACTTTATTTAAAATAGAAACAAATCTAAAAATACAAAAATTATATATTTTAACAATTAAATTTTATATTATAATTATATTTTACAAATGTAAACTATTGAAAATATATGTAATAATAAAAGAGATAAGAATTAGCATTTTTTCTTACATCTTTCAATTAATTACACATTTATAGCAGTAAAATTCTCCCTGTTTCACCTCGTTCCACTTATTTCAACAGCGATGGTTTTCTTAGATTCCACCGAATATAATGTCTCCGAATGGAAAGGCAAGAGAAAAATAAGAATTCATACGCCCTCGTACGTTGGTTCCTTGAACAAATATATTCACTGGCATGAACCAAGAACCTGTGACGTCTTCGCGGAAAATATTTTCGCGAGGTAACCTTCCCTCATGTTTCCACAAATAGACGGAAATTATGAAGTAAATTAAACTTAATAGCATCTTCAATCCTGAATAGTAAAAACAATATTATTCTTAAAATACGCAATAATTACCTTTAATAATTCTCGACCCAGGATGTCCGACGATAAAATTAATCGATGGTATCACACTTAAAATTTCGCTGCTAATATCGAGTGGCATATCACTAAAACTCACGGGATCGACGCCAGGCGCAGGTCAAACTGATGTTCGAAAGACCGGCAGTGTTCGTCTAAAATAAATATCTTCACAAATTTTCTCTGGGCTTGCGATTTTTAAAGACGCGGGAAACGCACTGAAACCCTTAAGAGTCTCTTAATTATCTCACAGACCGTCATCTTGTTAGTTTTATCGCGTCGCAGAGGATATCCGCGAAAATCGACGAAACCTTTCGCAGGAATATTATCCCAAAATCCGTAAAGTTATCCTTTACCACCAAGCATCATCCTTTACTATCTATTATCGGGATATCACTCTCTAGACGCGCCACCGTTCGCGCACCTTTTTAATTCTTGCCGGTGTCCTCTCGCTGTTTTATTCCGGTCACGCTCATACCATTCGACCTCCTAGTTCTCCCCGACATACAGTTGCTACGTGGAAAGTAATAAGAACGTATTAAAATGACTGCCCTTAATACCCATCGATTTCAATAACAACCGCGATCCACGTCGACAGCGAATTTATTAAAAATAGCTCGGAACGCCCGTGCTCACTAATAATGATTATATGCCTGATATATCCCGACGCAAAAATATTGAGGACGAAAATTGTGTTTGACGAAATATGCGAGATATACAACACAATGACAATTTCAGATTTTGATTAAGTATAATCATATAAAAACTTTAAAATATTCGTGTATTGTCGTGAAGAAAAAAGAAACAATCACATTTGTATAATCTTTATCTATTTAAACGTTCTTGATGAATATTCAATTATCAAAAGGCAAAAAAATATTTACAAATTTTTTCATTGTTAATATCTGTCATTCGCGGATATTTTATCCAGAACTATACTATATCGTAACAGTAGAAATTAAAATATTATATTTTGCGAGACGCTACATGAATAAATGTTCATTTATTTAATTAACTTATAAACATACATAATGCTAAAATATATTTCAACTTTTATCGTTATTCATTCAACCTTCTGCATTATTAAAAAAAAATTATAATTAATCAGACATAAATAGACGGTAAAAAATTATAATAACGACAAGATGCAACATATATAATTAACGGAAAGTAGAGTCTACATTCGATTCTCTTTCGAACAATTTGCAAAATTGTCAATAGCGAGAGATGGAAGTGGCAACGATAAATATGTCTGCGAAAACACATCTTCTAAAAAATTCAAAGGTAATAATTATAATGCGGGCGATATATTATCTCGAAAGGCGAAAATCGAGAATCACGATTGTTTTCAGCGATGAGCGGCAAAGTGTCCTCTAAGGAGTCTGGAGTTCAAAGAGCAACTCTCGTCGAAGAATTCACAAGGATCCCTCTTTGATCGACGGCAGACAAGTGGACTCATATAGCCGACCGAAAGAAATTCCAAGTTCAATGGAGGCCAATGTATACCGTCCTCAAAATCAGATCGATACGTTATCGTGTACACGTACTTTATTGAGGTGCACATGATGCATTGAAGTCGATCAATCGCGTTTGTGAAAAATGACAGGATAGATATCTGACATTAATCGCATATGAGAAAATTACTTTTTAAATCAAGGAAAATGAATAAAAATTGAGTTTCAACCAGCCCTCTCTCTCTCTCTCCATTTTTATCATGGCCTTCTGCCAGCCTCTTTCCATTTACATCTAATTCTTATTCTTATTATTTTTAGTCATAAATTAATTTGTACACATACATGACATATGTAATTGTGTGAATACCCGCAATGTATTGAACTCTGGTTCGCTAAACCGTGAATTCGCTAAGCTCAAATGACCACGAGGATTAGTCATTCTTGCGGAAAAATTACGGAGAAAATGGAGCTGGATAATTCCCTCTAATTATGTACTAATCCTTTCAAACAAAAAAGGAATAAATATTTGTTTAACAATTAGACGCTTTGACGTTTACGATTTTCATGCATATGACTACAATAGATCTTTTGAATTCCGTAAATTTGAGCGCGAATACATTACCTAATACGTGCATTGAGCAAACGATTATAGCTTTTCCCGCATTCACTCACATTAAATCGTACGGTGAATGGAGCGCGTCTCGAGTGTGTCGTGCAAGCTTTTCAAATCGCGAAAAACGTTTGACGAGCATTCAAATCTTATCGCACAGTTAACAGCCGCGCCGCCCGCCGCCCGCCGCCCGCCGCTTCGCCGTTTTCAACCAGCCATTAATGGTTCCGTGTACCTCAATGTGTTGCGATTTATCGCGTAGCGGCGTACCACCTCTATCATAAATCGCGATTCGTACCGTACGTGCGCGCGGAGAAATCCTCATCGCCCTAAACGGATTATCCATCCAGCTATCTATGTTTAGATAATATCGATTAGTTCAAAACACGAATCGAAAAAGCCGCGTTTGCGGAAGGATAATAATTTAAACGATGACTTTACGCGAAACGATTCCCGGCCCGGGATCTACTCCAAGTTGGCACGTATCTGTTTTACCCGAGGCACATCTCCGGAGATTACTCTTCGAAACGAGCGAGGAAATGTTCTGGGAACTCTCAGTCCGGAAATACAGCCGTGACCCTAAAAGGAATGTATAGCGCGGCTTTGAAACATCCGTCAGGTCCTTCAAGGCGCGACGTCACTCCCGGGAGCCAAATCCCTCAGGGCCGCGTAAGAAAGCGCGGTGCGCATCTCGGGAATTCCGACGGACAAACCGCGGAATAATGTAAATTTTTCAAGGATACTTCAGCCGCAATGGTGTTGCGACTTGAATAACACTATTCATAGCCGACATTATTTGTAACACAGTGATTTTGTATGCGCCACCCCTAATAGCGTCTATGAAAACCAAATAAATACGAACAAGGAAGTCTTGAACAGTTTTAATAACGAAAGATAAATGAGCGACAAGCGTTTACAAAAGTGTCCATGTAGTAATATCGGAGACGACTGGAAAATTATATGATGAATTACTTGGCGGGTCAGCCGTCGAAAGTTGAACAAACAATTTATTTCCCGACCGTCGTCGCGTCGCCCATAAAATTACAAGTTCTCCAATTTCGCGAAACGCGCGCGCGTCATTGAAAAATAACTTCGAGAATTAAAACTTCGTATAATCCTTAATAAACGAGCTAGGTAATAAATTATCGTGTAGAGGCGACTTCCCGAAATCCTGAAATGTCACTGACAGAGCGACACTTTATTGCGGTGGTTAATGTAGCGCGCTAATTGGCGGGATAAAAAGATTCCAAAACCTGCAGTGTGAAGGTCAGCGGCGGTGCGGGCACACACTTGACCTGGTTGCGACGAGCGTAACGCCGAACAGACAGGCGTCAGAAAAAGAGAGAGAGGGGGGGGGGGCAAAATTGCAAAGCAAATACTCGAATCCGCCATCGCAGACGTCACTTCTAATTTCGCCGATAGCTTCGTGTACGGTTGTCGCACTACTATAACTGGCAAATCACTCGAAAGAGATCGCAAAGGGTACTGCGTTGAATACGATCATTATCTTAAGTAGGACGATCATTTCAACGATCTGTCCACAAATTACGATGATCTAACGATGATCGACGAACAAGTACGTAAATATTCTGTCGTATCAAGAGTTGTCACTTCAAACGAACCTTTTACGAGACAGCAAACTGTCGGATTTATCGATAAGAGCTTGCTGCTGACAGCGGATTATCGCTGATAAAAATTCACGCTAATTAGATTCAATCTGTACGTTGTATTCTAGAACTCTATCCCTTCACTGCACAAATCTATCCGATTATCGACAAATCCTAATGTCAAATGCAAAGTGTCTTCCGAAGACCACCCCGTCACTCGAAACTATCTGTTTAACCATATGAGAGCTTCACAATCGCAATTGAAGATCTAAAACGGAAATTTTCCCATCTTTCTCGCCGCGATGGATCGTACTTGCAAAGTCGATCCGAGAAATCACCCCCACGATCCGAGAGCACGAACACTATACTTCAAATACGACCGGGCGATCCGTTCTCTCACGAAACGGGCTACGAAAAAGAAAGGGAAAAACGAGGGCACCTCTTCGGCAGTGCTCTTTGGCCGCGAGCGCGCTGCTACTGTCGAGGTCTCTCCCTCGTAGAGCTAATGCACGGAGGGTACCCGTTCGACGGGGTTGACCTAGTTAAGAGTAGAGTCAGAGCCCGAGAGTGCGCGGTACGGACGCGTCCACGTCGCGGTATGTACTGAGGCACTACCGTGTATGTACGGCAGTCTCTCTTTCTCTCTTTCTCCGACTAAAGCTGCGCGCAGTAAGGCCGCGAGGGCTCGTTCCCCTTTCGCGGTTCTCGCATTCTGCCACCGCCACCATCGCCACCTCCACCACCGTCAGCACCACCACTACCACCAAGAGATCGACCTTCGATGTAGCCGACATCGTCGTCGACACCACCGCCGCCGTCGCCGCCGCCGCCGCCGCCGCCACCACCACCATGGCTGCCACCAGCGAAGCATCCCCTGAAACTAACCCCCTACCCGCGCTTTTCGACCAAGCTCCCCTCCATATTGATCAGTGTGCGCGGTCCACAGGCCGCAGCATCCAAGGATGGAAACGCGCGCTGCTACACGTTGTCAACATGCTTAGCAGACCGAAATCCCACGGTGCGGGATAGTGACGAGCCCCGGCCACGAAAGCAACCGCATGTGTCCGCAGTGTCGTCGCCGCGATATGAGGAAATAATAAGACCGATATGTATTAAGATGCACGCCTTATTGTATGACACACAAAAGAAGATCCATCTGACCGTGGATGGTATCCGACTCAACTCGTTCATATAAACATAAATTAGAAGAATTGATTTAATCATGTATTTTTCCCGCATGTCAATATGCAATTTATTTATAAAATTTAATTATCTGCAATGCGATAAAAATCATTTTAAGCAGATTTTGTTAATTATTAAACCGATAAAAACACACTTCGATAATATAAATTGAATATAAAAATACGAGACGTTGAAAAAGTTGTAACGAGTTTCTCATTCATTGATTCGATATTAAAATTACATTCGGGCGTTCAATAAAACATTAAATTTTGTTATAATTAATATTCCACGGTGAATCGTGATCATTTGGATTGGGCGTGCATTAACAGCATTTGCGCAAAATGTTATAAACGCGTCGGGTTGCAGAACGAAGAACAAATGCTCGTATTCCGGAAATCCCTTATCCCTTCTTTAATTACCACAAGACAGGTGCAAGCCGGTGCCATTTATTAATCGATTAAAACCACATGCGTCCGCGTAACCTCGGCACAAAACTTTCATATAGGCTTTCGCTAAAGGAGTCTCATTATTTGCGGAATGTAATATTCATGAGTTAGCTAAACTCACCAAACCAAAAGAATAGAGATTGACATTCTAAAGAAATTTATTTAAAAATAAATTAAAACTTAATTTAAAAAATATAGAATTAATGTCAACTTCTCTATGTTCGCGATCAATTATAAAATAACTAATAATAACACAAAGAAACAGTAGGCTATAAGTATTAAATGTGTACGTTACAGATGTATCTATCAAAAAATTCTCGATGAAAAAGGTTTGAAAAATGGCGGACATAAAAGGGGATAGACAAGACTAACAAATGATTTCTTCAAAAAGAAATGTGTAGTCGCTGAAGCATTGTAAGATCACGATAGGGAATTAGTTTGGGCTTTTCGTGTCAGGCAATCATTGCGGGTAATGACGTGATCAAAAACCAATGCGGGCTTTTCGTGTCAAGCAATCATTATCGCACTGTTCTGAACTGTACGCCGAGGGTTGCTTTGATTTATATTTCGCAAATTATTAAAGATATAACAAAGTTACAATCACTTACAATGATACAAAGCGACATATTAATCACTCTAGAAATTACTATTATTATTATTATTATTATTATTATCATTATTATTA